TTCTTTTCTAGGGTATTATTTACAATAGGGGAGCCACACCCAATTTCAATAATTTTTACATATGTTGTCAAGGTCATTGTCCCGAGTAATAATATGAAGGTTTTAGGCCGCGCTCGTTGTTTGTTTAGAAGCTATGAGAGAAAGAAGTTTCATGAATGAATTCTTAATTTTTAGTTCCACATACATTCCGTTCGTGTTTCAAGCGTGTAGGCAGAGGGGGCTGCGCTCCCCCTGCACCCCCCCCTAAAAACTTAACCTACCCTTAACCTAACCTTGTCACCGGAACCAATAGGTGACACAAGTATGGCCGACGACAGACGAAAGGAACCCAAAGTCCAGCTAATCAGGACGCAGGAACAACGATTCGCCGAGCAGCAGCAGCCAACAGCGAATCATAGTGCGCAGAAGGAGAAACGCACACTCATGGAAGGCGGCAACAACCAAGATGGCGCCTGAACACGCCTTAAGAGACTTTAAGAATTTTCTTTTTAATAATCCAAGAATATCAAATAACAAGGCGTTACTGAACAAAGTGCTGGGTGTTATGCAGATGTATTTGGTTAATAAAATTTACAAACGTTTTGACTTTTGTTTAAAGTCTTCTTCAGTGTGCTGTGAATAAATATTAACAAATTCGGTATCGAAAACGAAAATTAATTATTATAAAAGTAAAATAATATGACACATACCTCTATTACAAAAAAAACTTTCTCACATTTAAAATAACGACATTATCAGTTAATGTAAAATAGAATGTTGATATTGGTCAATATAATAAAACAGTGTTGTTGAGTCAAGGATGTCGTTTCCGGGCAGGACGGGCTCGTTACCTTTGGCCGGGAACCGTCCTAGGAGAAGGAAAACTCCGAAATTAAACCACCCATATACATTATGGAAATGGACGACAAAAAGGGCGGATTATTACCGGACCAGGGTGAACGGACACCCAGGTCCCGGCAGTTCGGGGGTCAAGACCCTGCCCCCGTTCGGTCGATATCCAGCGAAGGGTTGGCTGTCTCGTGCGCTGCAGGCGAGGCAGTCTCTATGGCTACTGCAAGCTCCCTGGGGGAAATTCCGTCTATAGATCTAGACGAGTATTTGGGCGATGATACGCCTACGGCACGGTCTCCGCGTGGGGAATCACCAGCGGTGACTTTTACGGGAGAGTATCAACTCCCGAGCAAGGAGAGGGCGTNGACCAGCAGATGCCAAACGCAGAGGGGCGCCGGGAGCCAGTCGGGGGGAAGCGGTGTTAGTAGCCGCCCCGGCCCGAAATCTACCAAGACTGGCTCGCTGCCGACAAAACCCGGCAAAAAGATGTNCTCCCCACTTTCATCCAAGGGGGGGAGAAAGAGTAAACAGGTCCGTGGGACCATGAAGAGGCGCCGACAAGCGGATCCCGAGGAGGAGTCGGAGGACTCCTTGGGATCCGACATGGATGTTCCGGGGGAGGAATATCGAGATCTGCCGCCGCAGAACATCGCGGCGAAGATGGGGGCACGCCTTGATGAGCTTTACCGTCTCCAAAGGATTAGCAAAAATCTGAAGGGGACGGTGAAGCGAAACATCAAGACGTGTATCGTGGAGTTGCGGGCTCAACGAGATGCCCTGGTGGACTGTGTCCTGGATTGGGGGGACGAAACGGCCCTCCGTTTAAAGGCACAGGTCGCCGAGAAGGAGCGAGATGACCTCCTCCGGGAGAGGGCAACTATCTCTGCGGAACTTGAGGCACTGAGGTCGGAGATCAATGACCTCAAGGTGGAGAATGTCAATCTCCACGTCAGTGTCTTAAGGTTGGAGGCGGACGTTGGCCGGGCAGCTGTTTCCCGAGAAACGGCGACNGTTTCCGTTCAGACGGATGTCGCCCCGATGCAAGAGCAGCTGGAGAAGGAGGCCGAGAGGAAAAACCATCTATCCTGTCGGTAGAGGTGGTTCCGGCGGGGAGCAAGTCTTTGCTGCCCGGAATCGTTCCTCCCCCTGCGAGTCGTAGGGAGAGGAAGAAAAGGGAGGCTCCGGGCCCGCCGGAAATGGCCGTACCGGCCAAACTAGCATGGGGCGAAGACCAGCCCAAGGATAAATTTAGCCGCCAGCTGCAGGAGCTCACAAAAAGTGTGGCTTCATTGCAGGAGCAGTTGGCGGCAGTAGTAAGGGGGGGCCCTCCTCTTAGGGGGACTNCACCCACACAAACGGGGAGGAAAGACCCACCCCCGGCCCCCCGACAGCATAGCCCCGTAAGACCTGCTATGCCGGGGGGTGGAGAAGAGTTCCCACCCTTCACATGGGTGGAGGTAGTGCGTCGCGGTAGGCGCAAGGGCAAAGTCCCGGTGGAAGGACCGACGAAGGTTGGCGTCCCGGGTGCTTCTGCAGGGGTAGGTGGGGGGAGGGGGCCTCCTCCTCCTCCTCCTCCCCGGGCGGCACCGAGACAGNCAATGCGGCAGCGCCAACAGCCGCAGCGGCTAACACCGCCGCAGCAGCAACAACTACAACGGAGGCAACCGCAGGGGGTGAAACCTCTGAGAAGGAGGCCACCGAGGACGGCAGCAGTTGCCATTAGGTGCACTCCCGGCAAGGACAGCAGCCGGGAGTATGCGGATGCCATTCGTTTGGCNAGGGAGCAGGTGTCCCTAACGAAGATAGGGATTGGGGACATCCGCGTCCGTAAGGATATGGGGGGAGGCCTCCTTCTGGAAATTCCAGGGGAAGGAGGCAGTGAGAAGGCGGACCGCTTAGCAGAGGCGTTGTCGCCGGTCCTCTCTGGCAGGGCGGTGGTGTCCCGCCCTATGCGCAGGGGTGAAGTCCGGTTAACGGGGCTAGATGCCTCCGTTAACCAGGACGACATCATTGCGGCAATGACGACGGGGGAGTTCGGGCCCTGCAGGGGAAGCGACATTTCCGTGGGGCCTATTGCCGAGGGCCGAGACCGTATGGGCTCGGCCTGGATAAGGTGCCCGGAGGCGGTGGCCATTAAATTGGCTGCTGTGGGGCGACTTCGGGTTGGCTGGTCCAGCGCCCGAGTCGTCCCACTTGAAGTGCGCCGACTCCAGTGCTATAAATGCCTGGAGTTCGGCCACGTACGGCAGTCTTGCCGTAACGAGGAGGACCGCACCCGCACCTGTTTCCGGTGCGGGAAGGAGGCCGATCACACGGCGCGCACCTGCACGGCTCCTGTACGGTGCGTGCTGTGTGACAGCAGAGGCCTGTCCACCGGCCACAGGATGGGAGGCCCATCCTGCCCTTCACGCCTGAAGGGCAGGAATGGTAAGAGAAACCCCCCGGAGCGGAGGACCGGGGTGGCTGCTTCGGCAGAAAGGATGGAGGTGGACCGCAATGATAATGCGTAGTATTCTACAAGTTAACGCAAATCATTGCGGTCCGGCACATGACCTGCTACGGCAGGTCATGTGCGAACGACGGGCGGCTCTCGCGACGGTCGCGGAGCCGTACTACACCGGGGAGGCTCCGGGCCGGGCGGTCGACCTGGATGGTGTGGCGGCGATTCAGTGGTNGCCCCGCGTGAGCCGCTCGCTATGTGAAGTGGCGGAGAGGGGCCACGGTTTTGTGGCTGTGCGTTGGGGGGAGGTAGTGGTGTTCAGCTGCTACTTTTCCCCCAACGCAAGTAGGGCAGAGCTCCGCGAATCCCTCGATGCTCTCTCCGAGAGCATAGAGAGGGTGGGCGGGGAGTCCCACCTGGTGCTGGGCGACTTTAACGCCTGGTCCACACGGTGGGGCTCCGCCTCCACAAATGTGCGGGGGAGAGAGGTCGAGGGATGGGCTGATAGAGCCGGACTGTCCCTTCTTAACCGAGGAACGGTAGTAACATGCGTTCGGCCCCAGGGGTCCTCTGTCGTGGACCTGTCCTGGGCGTCGGCGGCTGTGGCCCCGCTGATCCGGGGGTGGAGGGTCCTCCGCGAGGTGGAGACCCTGTCGGATCACCGTTACATCGGCATGTCCATGGTCGATGAGGAGGTGGGTGCCCGCCCGAGGAATCTTTTTCCTCGGTGGAAGCGGGACCCATGGGACATGGACATGTTCGATGCGGTGGTCCGGGGATCGGCGTGGGTTGTTGCCGCCGGGGATCGGGATGGGTCCTTGGCGGGGGAGGTTAAGTGGCTGGCCCGCGTGTGTGTGGACGCGTGTGATGCGTCAATGGCCCGCGCGGGTCGGCCGGGACTCCGCAGGGCCATGTACTGGTGGTCGGCGGAGATCGCGGATCTCAGGACCCGGTGCATGGTCCTGCGCCGGCGATACACCCGGGCACGAGGGCGTCGTCAGCACGACCCGGATGCCGTGGAGGCCTCGCGCGTCCATCTGCGCGAGGCACAGCGTGCCCTCCGTCGAGCCATAGCGACGGCAAAGAGGGCGGCATGGAGGAACCTCACGGATACCTTGGATAGGGATCCGTGGGGTTTGGCATATCGGGTGGTGCTGGCGCGCCTGAGACCATCCGGCCCGGGTGTTACGGAGTTGCTGCCGGTGGATGCGGTCCAGGAGTTGGTTCGGACTTGTTTCCCCTCCGGGAGGAGGCCCGTCCGGGCCCTCCGGACCGCATACCGTGGCGGGAAGATTTCGCCGTGGGAGTTGATGAACTCCGCGAGGCATGTCATCGCCTGCGGGGGCGGCGCACTGCCCCGGGCATGGACGGGATCACGTCCATTGCCTTGGCGCGGGTGGCATTCTTGGCCCCGGAGGTGTTACTGCGGTGTTACACGCGGTGCCTCCGGGAGGGGTGCTTCCCGCGGGCATGGAAGGGGGCCAGGTTGGTGCTGGTCCCCAAGGCATCCCGCCCGGGAGTTGCCCCCTCGTCCTATAGGCCGCTATGCCTCTTGGACGAGGTGGGCAAACTTTTTGAGCGGGTCTTGGTGACCCGCATCGAGGGGGTCGTTCGGAGGAACGGAGGCCTGTCCGACCGACAGTATGGGTTCCGACCGGCGCTCTCCACGTGCGATGCGGTGTTCCGCGTTCGGGAGATCGCCGGGGCCCATCTGGCTCGGGGGAGGACGTGTGTTGCGGTTAGCCTGGACATCCGCAACGCGTTTAACTCCCTGTCCTGGGGTGGCGTCCGGGCGGCTTTGCGGGATTGGGGGCTTCCCA